CGGAATCGAACCTGGGACCTTTCAGTCCACAGGCCGACGCTCTATCCACTGAGCCAAACCGGTTAGGGCGAGGATATTTTCATTAATAGAGAGGGGAAGACAGACAGAGAGAGAGAGGGAGAGAGAGAGAGAGAGAAACATCCATCGATTGCCTCTGGAACTCACCTTGTATACCCTGACCAGGAAACGAACCTAGGACTTTTCCGTGTACTGGACAACGCTCCTACCGACAGAGCCATACTGGCCAGGGCTAAAAGATGATTTTTAAAAAATTAAGGCTGAAAGGGTTTTTAGACTCAAAGAGTTTTTAGCTGAGGTCTCCAAAAAAGGACAGAACAGAGACTCAAATCTATGGACTCCCATATTTCATTTACTCTGCTACATAATCCTATGGCTACAACATTAAGCATGTCCACTTGCAAACTTACCAAGCAGCCAGCTATCTTTGTGCATTCCAGCTTCAAACTGACTACTGAGAGAAGACTGCTGCAGCACAGCATAGTCCTGCAGGCTGCCTGGCCAGTTTGTTTCCACCGCCATTAGTGCCCCTCTGATGTCACACACCATCAGGCAGTTTAAAGAATGCAGACCTTTGCGGTTCACGTAGGAGAGGTCTTCAGCATTTGGTGCCTTGATTGCCACATGGATACAGTCAACCACGCCTATTACCCCTGGCATCCCAGCCAACCCATAGAATTCATCCTTCAGAGCCTGAATGGAGGCTTCGTCAGCGGGAAAGCGAATGATCTGTGAGGCTCTTTCCACAAGCGCTTCGGTGACATTGGCAACACATCGACTCATAGATGCCTGACTGATTCCTATAGCATCTCCCATCCGAGTCTGGAAGGAACCTGAAGTATAGAAGCCCAGTGCTGCCAGGATCTGTGTCTCTGGGCTAATAGCCCTGGATCTCTGAGTAGGTCTAGAAAGACTCGCTCCCAAGAGCTCCACCAAGTAATAAATGAACTGCCGAGGAAACCCATACACGGACATCAAGTAGTCATCAGTCACATCATCCAACTTAAAACGGTCCAATGTCCGGTGGCCTCGGCCATACAGTAAGAGGTCGCAATCAAGCACTGTTATAGGTATAGCCATGGTACATGTAAGTGTTGACTCTCTTTTCCACGGCTATTTTCCCCCGAATTCTTCCCAGTGAAGGCCTTGGTGCAAGAAGGTATTTAGAGAAGTGTCAACAGCTAACCATCAGTTAAATGGCTCTGGCATTTATAATCTTCTCTCTGTAAAGGTTAAAAGAAAACAAAAACCCCACACACATTAGAAACCTACCAAAGACTTTAAAGTGATTCTAACGTTACAATAACTCCTTTTCTCAAATGTCTATGTTGTTCCAGCAAAAGGTGCTATACTTGTAACTCTGGGTTTTTCTCCACTAACTTACGGCTGCATGACAGTCTCTGTTTTGGTTTCAAGGATAATGGGAGTTGTACCTTGGTGGCTTATTTTCTCCCTGGCATTTGAACTGAGAAGAGCAAAAGATTAATGAAGGTGATGGCATCATTATCCACGAGGTAAAAGAGGTCTGCTCCTAACTATACAGGCCACGAAGGAGCTGACGTTAAGGGCAAGGGATTAGTCACGGCGGGTTTCTTTACCCAAAGCTCTCTGGCTCCCCCTGAGAAGCACGGGACAGAAGAGGGTGATGGTGGTGCTCAAACCAGTCTAACAAGGGAGAAGGGGGGGGGGGGGGGGCAGAAAGAAAGAGGGGGGGGGGGGGGGGGGGGGGGAGGAAAACCACTCACGACCCGGGCTGATGGAGGTGGATCGTGTGCTCTAACAATCGCGAGGCTGAGGGGCTAGGAAGTAGAGAGGCCCCAACAAGTTAGAAGGAAGGTGCGGAAGAAGACGCCGAGAGAACTAGGGGTTGGGAGTCGACTGCGTCGCTTTGAAGAGGCGCCTTAAATACGGACTATCCCGTAAATCGGAGTGCGTCGGCCACTCAAAGTCAGCTAAAAGTCTGTCACCCACCTCTCGGAGGCTGCCAGGACACCAGCCACACTCCCCTCCCACCCCACCTGCTCCCGCCCTCCTCCGGAACCGGCAGTCGCGCACAATCCGCCACGCTGCTCAGCATAGGCACCGCCCCCTCTGCGTCAGCGTTCGCCCCACGCCGCGTCCTCGCTGGTCCCTGCCGCAGTGACTTGCGATTCGGCCCTGCACATTCCTCACGCGGCCCAAATGTTCTAGCTCTTTCAAAGTCCCCGTTCTTGACTCTTTTATTTTCTTCTGAGACTCTGGGAAATATTGGCCATAAAGGCATATAGAAAGGAAATAAACTTTTGTGGGAATTTCGAAGAGGAAAGAGATTCAATAGGGTGTTCGTGTGTAGCGAAAGTGCGGCTGAAGTTAGACAGCTGTATTTTCCTCGTAGCCCTCTTCCTCCCCCCGCGTTCACCGAAGCAGATGAAAACAAACACTAACGATGGCGGCGCCGGGAAGCGGCCGGCCGAAGGGCTTAAAGCAGGAGTGATCGCTTGAGTTGTGAGGAGAGTTAAGGCGCTCCGGTCGACGTGTGTGCGACGACTCGCTCAGTCTTGAGAGCGAATACTGGGGGTGTTCGATCCACGAGCCTCCTGAGGGGTGAACTGTCTGCGGCCCGGGCTGTCACTGCTGCTCCGGAGCGCAGAACCCTCGGCCGGGAGGCGCAGCTGGCCGGCCCCGGGCCCCTGCCTCCGTAATGAGAGCCCCGAGCCACTCTTTGTGTCGCAGCTTTGCAGGTACTAACTTTGGAGGGGATACCCCCAGATCTCTCAGCGCCCCCGGGTGGGAGGCTATGGATCTGCGGCTCGTCCGGGGCCTCCTTGGGAGGCTGAAGTTGACCAGCCACAGTTCAGTCCCCTGAGCTTTCTCTGGGAAGTCGGGTTGGTGTAGGCTACATTGGGCCTTGATTGTTCCCAGTCTTTACGAAGATCCCAGAGCTTTCGTTTCTACTTTCTCAGTTCTTGGGGTGAAGTCCTAAGGGGTTTTGGAGATAATTTTGGGTTCATAACTCCGGGGTTGGGTACCAATATGAGTTTGGTTAGGTTTTCATTCAATCAAGATTTGCTGAGTGCCAAATATGTACTCCGCGTGTAGGTGAGGGTGACTGTTGACTAGTGAAAAAAGGGACCCAAGGTTCACGACTATCTTCTTACTGGCAGTGGAACGACCTGAGGAAACCTGCGATCCATTCTCATTAAATAAATCTCTGGGTAAGTGGCTAAGCACCTTCTTGGGTTCATCACTAACGCATCTCAGTTTTCACTTTCTCAGCCAGCTCTCAGTTTTCCTGGTCAATTCAGAGTAACATTACACTTTCAGTGTTTCTTCCTCTTCTGGGCATCCTACCTCTACAAAGAGGAAAAAGAGGGAGAGATATCTGGAGAAGGAATGTGAATGAATGAATATTAAAGAAAAAAAAAGTACCTGTTTTCTTACTCTTAGTTTAAAACTCATCTCCTAAGATGGTAGAATCTTATTGAACACCTTCAATGGGAGATGTGCAATAATAAGAAACAATAGATCCTTCCCTTACACTAAGTTAACCTCCAGATTTTCATGTGTTCGTTTTATGAGTGTTCTTTTCATGTGTGGGTATTGTGGCTCCAACTACATTACAGACTTTGTTTTCAACTCCCTTTTCCACAAGGATTTATAAGAGCAGAAGTCTTACAAATGTTTGTAGAATGGAATCCAGAGTTAATATTTTTAGTACACAATGGATGATGAAAAAGTGCTGGAGCAAGTGTCACATATACTGATTTGTATAGTAAAACACATGTAAATTTATTCACTGTTCCCAAATTGTATCCCATTGCCTATAAAATTAAGAAGACGATGAAAAAAAAAAAAGAAGACGACGATGGCAACTTTTGAGATTTACATTTCATAAAATTTGTAAACCACTGGGTTTTCCATTACTGTACTTACACCTAACAATAATTATTGAATACTTGTATTTTTCCCCTCAAGAGTGGATAGTAAAATTGAAGCAAAAACTGCAGATCTTCATCTACTAAACACTCCAAATTGTAATATATATATATATATGTTTCCTAAAAGGAGTCTCAACTCTTTAGAGTAACATACAAGGCTTTGTTTATTGGGCTGCAATTTGAAACTGAATTCTACTTTTTAAAAAAATATATATTTTTTTATTGATTTTAGAGAGGAAGGGAGAGGGAGAGAGAGATAGAAACATCAATGATGAGAGAGAATCATTGATTGGCTGCCTCCTTCCTGCAAGTTCCCTACTGGGGATAGAACCTGCAACCCGAGTATATGCCCTTGGCCGGAATCGAACACAGGACCCTTCAGTCCACAGGCCGATGCTCTATCCACTGAGCCAAACCGGCTAGGGCCAAATTATAATATTTTATTTAGGGACTAAATCAGTTAGACACAGTGGGATCCTACCACATACTGGAATTGTACTGTATTGAGGTCGGGGCAATAAATCTTTTTCCTTATTGTCTTTCCTGCCCCCATCCACCCAACTGCATTAGCTTATATCTTCCATGATGACTCAGCAGGGTGTCTATAGCCTAAATGCAAAAATAGCCTAAGACATTAACTTTTGAGCTTCCAAAGTCTAAAGTGTTACTATATAAGTGATTTTTCAAGGCTATTTTTTACTATTTCGAAAAAGTAACCACTGTAGAATTTATTGCACCTTCTGGAAAAAAGTTATTTAATCTTAATGCCTAGAAGTCCCTAAAACTTTGTTTTTAAATATTTATTTTCCTTTTAAAGTCCTTTTTACTTTATCACAGAGGAGATGAATAATTACATTCATAACACTGTGGTTGGAGAGCTGCTTAGATCACAGAGAATGAAGAGTATACTTTAAAAAATTCCTCACTATTATGACCTTTTATTATTCAACTTAAAGTTTTTTGTTTTGTTTTAAATTTATTGTAGAGAGAGAGAGAGAGAAAGGAAGAGAAAGAGAGAGAGAAACATCAATTTATTGTTCTTACTTATGCATTCATTGGTTGCTTCTTGTATGTGCCCTGACCCGGGATCAAATCCACACAACCTTGGTGTTTTGGGATGATGCTCTAACCAACTGAACTACCTGGCCAGGGCCTTAATTTGTTTGATTGTTTTTGACTGAAAGAAAAGTAGAGACTCGCCATTAATAAATGGCAGTATCCATAGCCAATGAGGTTTATCCAAGGTGCGATTATTGCTAATTGAAAAGAAAAAACAAAAATGCAGGTTGGCCTGACCTGAGTGGCTCAGTAGGTTGAACGTTGTCGGGTGCACCAAAAGATTGCCGTTGCCGTACTCAATCAGAGCACATATCTGTGTTGCGGGTCCCATCCCTGGTTGGGGCAGGTATGGAAGGCAACCAACAGATGTTTCTCTGTCTCTCACTTTTTCTCCCCCTCAGTTTTAAAAATCTTTTTATTTTTTAAAAAAAGGTCACCGTTCTGCTAATATTTGAGCTTCCATATTGCCTAGTATTATTATTTATCATCATTTTTTTTATTTTATAAGAAATGAAGATTGGCCCTAGCCGGTTCAACTCAGTGGTTAGAGCATTGGCCCAAGGACAGAAGGGTCACGGGTTCGATTCTGGTCCAGGGCATGTACCTTGGTTGAGGCTCTATCCCTGGCCCTGCTTTTGGTCCAAGCGCATGCAGGAGGCAACCAATTGATGTGTCTCTCTCACATCGATGTTTCCCTCTCTCTGTCGCTCCCGCTCCCTTCCACTCTCTCTGAAAATCAGTGGTAAAAAAAATATCCTCGGGTGAGGATTAAAAAAAAAGAAACAAAGATTTGAGTGACTTGCCTATATGCCAATATATATATATATATATGACTTGGTTTTATTATTCAGATCCTCTGTATTTTTTATATCTACTTGAGTTCTCAAAGAGGTATGTTGTGTCTTCAGGTATATTTTTGTTATCAAGCTCTGCTAGCATCTCTAGGAATTTTTGCTTCGTGTATTTTATTGCTATATTGCTAATGTATAAAGGTTTATGGCCCTGGCTGGTATGGCTGGTAGGCCATCGCATGGGTTAGATTCTTTCTGTCTAGGGCATGTACCTGGGTTGCAGGTTTGATCCCTGGCCCTGTTCAGGGTACCTGTGGGAGGAAACCAATTGATGTGCCTGTTTGTCTTTCCCTCTCTCCCCTCTCCCTCCCTCTCTCCCTCTCTCTCCTCTCTCTCCTCTCTCTCCCCTGCCCTCACTCCTTTCCACTATCTTTAAAAATCAGTGGAAAAGATATCCTTGGGTAAGGATTAACAAAACAAAACGAAAAATTTATGGATGTTACATTTTTCAGAGATTATCACTACTCAGTGTCCCTTTTAATCTCATTTCATAACTTTTGACCTGGAATTCCATTATAAATACTTCTGCTTTCTTTTTGTCCTTTTTCTTTCCTCTTCCTCTTTTTTCAAACTGAGTATATCTGCTTATTTATTTACTTTTAAATTTTCTTTGTAACTCTTTTCGATATGAAGATGATTTCAGTTTTTAAACTTTGGTGTTTCTCATTTGTCTACAAAGAACTTTCTAAATGGAATAAAGGATCTTTGTATTTTAATAATAACTCTGATGCCTGAAGTGGGGAAATGACTGTTTTGTTCAGTTTGCACTTGAACTTAACTATTTTGTCTCGTTAACTGTTTCAAATTTACAATATTGAGCTATTTATTTATTAAAATATATTTTCAT